CAACTGACCCCAGTGTGTAGTGCTCCCCTCCCTTTGTCCATGTGCTCTCATCGTTCAACACCCGCCTATGAGTGAGAACATGCGGTGTTTGATCTTCTGCTAAATGATAACTTCATTGAAGATATAACTTAACATGATTTATGCCCTGATCTGGACCTATAGATTCACAGAGGTATGCCAGGGTAGCTCAGTGGGAATCTGGGTGTGCCGCAGCTTCCGTGTGGCTGCTGAGTAGACTGAGAGTGGGATTCTGATGTCTTCCAGTGAAACAGGCACTGGGGGCTGCAAGCCAGTTATGCCCTCTGAGGATAATAAGATGCCATCCCTCAGCTGCAAGGAAGTTGCAGGATGAGCAGTATTTTTCATGCAGAAAAGCGATTTTTCATGATCCAGGCAGAACCTGCGATTAAGACAACTTTGGGGTCTCTTTAAGCAATATTTTGATTAAAATTAGGAGACATTATCTCTTTGCCTCTGCCTCTGACCTCAGTCAGGGTTTCAAAGTCAGCTAACCCCAAAAGGCCTGGAGACACAGCAATAGTTCTGCTCTTTGTTTTCAGATTTTAATTCTGCCTCTGGTTGAGGCATCTCTTCCCAGGGCCACCACGCCTGGCTGCATTGACCACTCCTTCCCTATGCTCTGCGTCACCGCCCCCTTTGTCCTGGGGAAAAAGGCATTCCTGTGGCCAAGGTCCTCCCACACCCCCAAACTGCTCCCCCCAGCTCTGTCATACCCCATTAGCAATGACTGCCTTCATCTTCCCACCCCTCCCCCACCCCATCTGCCTGGTAACTTTATTTTCTCCCCTCTGCAAAGCAGCTGCTAGCTCAGACTGACAGGGGCTTGTGGGATTCTCAACATTTCGACTCCCAGAATCTCAGTGCTGAAGGAATGTCAGTGAGGCATCTGGTCCTGCCCCCACCTTGGAGCAAAACTACCTAGCAATTGTGCCATAACGAAGCATATCAAGGAGCTGATTAGTGTCTTTTTATTAAACTTCTCCTTAGTCTCAGTCTTTGACAAAAATAAGCCAGTCCTGAGTTGCTGCCATTAGATTTATTGAACATCTACTTGTTGGCCTACGTCTATGGTACCACTTCATAGAGCTTAGAGTCTAGTAGAAGAGATATGCAATAAATAAGTAAAAGAAAAATAAATACTAATTACAAATGTTGATAAGTCTTATTCAGGAAACAAGCTGTTATGATAAAGAATAATGAAAGGCAGAGCAGGGAGTCAAGTTTTTAGTTCGGGTGTGTCAAGAATGGCTCAGTGGAGGAGACATTTGAACACGGACTCTATAAAACAAAGACAGGCATAGGAAGGGGCAAGGGTGGAGAAGCAGAGCAGCAAGGTGGACAGTACTTGAGAAGATCCCAAGCATTTGGAAGCATTTGGTGCTCTTGAGGAATAAATACACAGCCAGTGTGATTGGAGCACAGTATATCTGCTATGGTGGTATAGATGGGATGGCGGGATGGGGAGGTCCTTAGGCCACGTGGCCTTCCACATGTATAACAGTAGGAAGTTACAGGAGGATTTTAAGCAGCAACAGCCTGATTTTCTTCATGTTTTCAAAAGATGTTTCTGGCCAGGTGCAGTGGCTCACGCCTGGAACCCTAGCACTTTGGGAGGCTGAGGAGGGCAGATCACTGGAGGTCAGGATTTCAAGACCAGCCTGGCCAACATGGTGAAATCCTATCTCTACTAAAAATACAAAAATTAGCTGGGTGTGGTGGCACGTGTCTGTAATGCCATCTACTCGGGAGACTGAGACAGGAAAATCGTTTGAACCCAGGAGCAGGGGTTGCAGTGAGCCAGGATCACACCACTGCACTGCAGCCTGGGTGACAGAGCCACACTCTGCCTCAAAAAATTAAAAAAAAAATTTTTTTTAATAAGATTTTTCTTACTGCTGAGTGGGGAATTGATTGAAAGGCAGCAAGAGTGGAAGCTGGAAGGTAGGAGAATTTTTTCTATAACCAGTTAAGAGACAATGTTCTCTTAGACCAGAGAGGAAGCAGTGGAGATGGGAAAGTTGGGTGGATGAATTTAAGAATTATCTGTCCAGCAGGGCACAGTGGCTCACGCCTGTAATCCCAGCACTTTGGGAGGCCGAGGTGGGTGGATCACAAGGTCAGGAGTTCGAGAATCAGCCTGGCCAAGATGTTGAAACCCCGTCTCTACTAAAAATACAAAAATTAGCTGGGCATGGTGGCACGCACCTGTAATCCCAGCTACTCAGGAGGCTGAGGCAGGAGAATCGCTTGGACCTGGGAGGCGGAGGTTGCAGTGAGCCAAGATTGTGCCATTGCACTCCAGCCTGGGTGACAGAGTGAGACTCCTTCTCAAAAAAACAAACAAACAAAAAAGAATTATCTGTCCAAATAGGCCCACTAGTTTTTTGTTTTTTTTTTTAAAAAAAGAATTATCTGGAGAATTGTCTTCAAGAGTGGCTTAAAACCAGTTATTCTAAGCATGAGTTCCAGAGAATGAGCATGTTCTTTAAAACCTATTTTCCCCACTACAATGATCAACAGTCCAGAGCTAATGATTGATTGAAATTAATACTCTGCAATATCACATTTGTTTTTTTTTTTTTTTTGAGACGGAGTTTCGCTCTTGTTACCCAGGCTGGAGTGCAATGGCGCGATCTCGGCTCACCGCAACCTCCATCTCCTGGGTTCAGGCAATTCTCCTGCCTCAGCCTCCTGAGTAGCTGGGATTACAGGCACGTGCCACCATGCCCAGCTAATGTTTTGTATTTTTAGTAGAGACGGGGTTTCACCATGTTGGCCAGGATGGTCTCGATCTCTTGACCTCGTGATCCACCCGCCTCAGCCTCCCAAAGTGCTGGGATTACAGGCTTGAGCCACTGCGCCCAGCCTCACATTTGTTAATAATTTATTTATTTTTGAGACAGATTCTTGCTCTGTCACCCAAGCTGGAGTGCAGTGGTGAGATTTTGGCTCACTGCAACCTCTGACTCCCAAATTCAAGCGATTCTCCTGCCTCAGCCTCCCAAGTAGCTGGGATTACAGGTGTGTACCACTATGCCCAGCTAATTTTTGTACTTTTAGTAGAGGGGGTTTCACCATGTTGGCCAGGCTGGTCTCAAACTCCTGACCTCAGGTGATCCGCCTGCCTTGGCCTCCCAAAGCGCTGGGATTATAGGCGTGAAACGCCTTAACCAGCCTGTTAATAATCTTTAGACTGGGAGTGGAAGTGGAAGATGGGCACAGCTTAACTTCCAGAGAAAAAAAACAAAGTCCTCCCTCTTCTCTCAAGTCTATGATTAAAGCCTTGGAGATTGGGTAAAATTTTCTTTTACCCTCTCTCTTGTGAAATCTAAAAGGAAGGAGAGATGTTTAGAACCTGCTTCTCAGATCCAATATTAACAGCATAATAAAGTGTATTAAAATGGGGAAGAGAATTAGCCTTTCTTTCTTAACACTTGTTTGTATCATATTTCTGTCCTATCAAGTCAACAAGTACATACTGACTTTGTACTACATGTCCAGACCTGGGATTTTCCCATTGGTGGTGAAGAAGAGTAAGACAGTTCCTGATCTCTAGAAGTTTGTCATCTACCTGGAAAGATGAATGAAAACTCATGATGCCATCTATAATCAATACAATGATATGAAATGCCAAGTAATTAAGTATTAAGAGTATGGTTCAGATGACAAATACTATTAAATTACAAATAGAAGGAAGCAAAAGAAAGGGAATAGAAACTAGTATTTATGAAGTATCACTCACATATTAGGCATTTCACACTGGGCCATTCATTGAATTCTCACCATATTCCTGTAATGATAGGGTTGCGGTGGGACGAAAGGACATGGGGGCTGGGGTAGTCACAGAAGGGGATGTGAGTGAGTGAGTCTGTCTTGAGCCAGGCTTGAAAGAGATGGAGAAACGTGACAAAGATGAAGAAACCAACATAAGCAGATGCATTGAGTAGTCATGTGGGAAAGGGAAGGGGGAAAATTGCCACTGAATCCTAGGGTGGAGCACAAATATGGAGAGACTCAAATATCAGCCTACCTGTGGTTCTTAACTCTCATCTGTTGGTAAGGCTTCCTCACCCAACTTCCTTATACTCTAAATGCTCCAACTAGAGGCTGATTTATACCTGAAAACTGATAACACAAGCAGAGTATATTAACTAGTTATTGTTGACTTTCATATGAATAAGGAAAATGCAAATTATGACAACAATGAGATATAGTATTCCTTCACATGGGTTTTGCCTAATACTGTATGTTTGTATAAATGACAAAAATATTACTGTAGCAAAAGTTTATTCACTATCTATGTATTCTTATAAGAGATTTCTGTTGCACTCCCAAAATAGTGTTGCAAGAAGTAAAGGGAGAGGAAGGCTTCTGCCAAGCTGAGGATCCTTTCCCACATTCCTGTCCATTTCACCTCATTTGCTTTGCTTTCCTATCTTTCAGGTGGAATGTATCCTTGGGACATCTTTGCATAGCCCCATCTAGGAAGAAGCTCTGTGATGTGTGAACTGTGAGTTTGTTCAAACAAGTCTGACTCTTTATAAGGCACAGGTAGATGTCAGGGCTGGGATGGAAGAGCCAGCAGCAGTAGAAGGCCAGGGCCAGCTCCCAAGCCCCCACCAGGGTCCTCTCAGGAAAGCTGTGGCTGCTGCCCTAGCCCTGGATGGGGAATCCACAATGGGGCACAGGAAAAAGAAGAGGAAAGAGTCTCGCCCAGAATCAATCATCATCTACCGCTCAGACAATGAGAAAACAGATGACGAACCCGGGGAATCAGAAGGTGGAGATCGGCCTAAGGAGGAGGAGGGAGACGATTTCCTAGACTATCCGGTGGATGATGGTGAGTCTCTCTAGGGCCACTTGTTTAAAGCCATGGGAAGGAAACCAAAAGAGGATCTTCCAGAACAGACAGACATATGCTTACTGACCTATTTCTTCTTGGTAATACATTTCTTCTTGCAATATCATCGCCATTTATTTATTTATTTAATTGAGACAGAGTCGTGCCCTGTCACCTAGGCTGGAGTGCAGTGGC